AGAGGATGAGTAAGCTGCTTGAGGCCCAGTTGCTGGAGAGGTACCAGGGACAGGGGTGCACAGGACCTGGGAGCTGGGGAGCAACACCCTATGAGAAACGTTGGAGTGTTTGACTTTGAAACCTGGACGATCCTTTGGGTCCAGGTGGCCGGCTCCATCCACAGAAAAAGGAACCGGTCTTCAAGGAGAAAATGGGAAAGAAAAGGAGAAACCAAAAGGCCAAGTGTCCAAGCTTTAGAAGCCACAGAAAGGCAGTCAGCAGCTCTGTCCTGGCTGAACTCAGAAAGCCCCAGTCCTGTGTTTCTCTTATCTCCATTTGGTAAATGTCTGGCCCCCACCATGCGCCGTCATTCTGCCTATTTGGGGAGATGTAATCAGAGTCTCCTGGTAGAACATCTGCCCCCTACACATACCTCTTCCCTCATTCCAACTCCGCCCCCTGTCGCACATTCCCAGGCACACCCACAGACCAACACAGGCCTGTCCGTAGGTACGCTGCGGGGAGAGGGAGGGGGTTCATCTCCTGAGGGGTAGCTTGGATGCACGTGGGGGGGGCGGGGGCGGGAGAATGGTCAGGAGGGGAGATGGGCTGACGCAGCTTCCCCAAGCCATGCAAGGATCCAAAGAAAACACAGCTGGTGAAAGGGGAAGGGGGATGGGGGAAGCCAGGCTACACATGTTGACATCTTGGGCAGAAATCCAACTTGGTGTCCTGTGGTGAGTGGAGCCTGTGTTTACTTACTTGGACCAGTTCCTTCCTGCCGCTGTACCTCAGTGTGCCAGTCTGCAAAACAGGGGCAATGATAGCTATCTCAAGGAATTGCTGTGAGGATTAAACGGGGTCATTTAAAAAGAGACACAAGTGAGTGGAGTGGTTACGAGCAAGGGCTCTGGAGCCAGGCTGACTTGAGCTAGTTCCTTAACCTCTCCGGGTCTCTATTTCCTCATCTGTAAAATAGGACAATGATACCTGTCTTACAGGACGTTATGAGTTTTAAGCGAGTTAATATCTGGAAAGCACTTTTTGTTTGTTAAACAACTAGTTAATACCAATGACCAGAGACATTTATTGAGCCCTTTAGTGTACCAAGTACTAGGTTCAGCATTTTATATACTTTTTTTTAAAGATTTTTTTTTTTAATTTGAGAGAGAGAGAGAGAGCAGAGCCAGGGAGGGGCAGAGGGACAAGCAAACCTCTCGGCCCAGTGGGGAGCCTGACGAGGAGCTTGATCCCAGGACCCTGAGATCATGACCTGAGCCGAAGTCAGACGCTTAACCAACTGAGCCACCCAGGTACCCCATTTAAATTTTTTTAAAAAGATTTATTTATTTATTTTACAGAGAGAGTGAGTTGGGGGAGAGGCAGAGGGAGAAAGAGAGAACCCTTCCCACTGAGCGAGGAGCCAGATGTGGGGCTTGATCCCAGGACCCTGAGATCATGACCCAAGCTGAAATCAAGAGTCAGCCGCTTAACCGACTGAGCCACCCAGGTGCCCCAGCACTTTATATACTTTATTTAAAATCTCACCACCACCCGGAGAGGTTGTCGGGTACTAGATCATCCCCAACTTACAGATGTGGAAACTGGGGCTCTTAAAGAGACTTACTTTTTAATTTACTCTAGAACAGGGGTTTGCAAACTACAGCCCATGGGCCAAGTCCAGCGAGGGGTCTGTTCATGTAAGTCTTGTTTATAGCTGCAATGACAGAGTTTGAACAGCTGTGACAGAGAACACAGAGCCAGCAAAGCCTAAAATATGTACTATCTTATCTGACCTTTTACAGGAACAGTTCTCTGACCTCTGCTCTAAAAAATGACAGAGGCAGGATTTGAACCAGGTCTGTCTGATTCCAAAGCGCTTAATTAATGCTTTGCTCTCCTCGTGGTTTAACAATATCGCTGTGCTGGGTGCACAGTAGAGGCTAGAAAAGCATTTCTTTCCTGTCCCTTTGAGTGCTGGGAAGTCCCTCCTTCCCTCTTCAAAGACAGGAGTGAAAGTGGAAAGGGATTTGGGCCTTCTGATCTCTTCATCCCTCAAGTCAAGTGTTGAGGAACCGGGGAGGTTGCCAAAGACCTTCCTGGGCTGCCTGTCTGCCAATATCACTGAAGTGTAAGCGTTGGGGGCACAGGCTTTGGGAGAAAGGGGAAACTCGTGTGACAGAGGGGCTCAGGCTGACAGGGCAAGTCCCTGGATTCAAGGCCAGTGAGTACATCTTGTCCCCCGGCCCAGGGCTGTGTTTAGAGTCAGTCGGGCTGAGACAAACGAGGCGCAGGAGTTGCTAAAGAATCCAGGGTGCATAGGTATCACTTGCCCCCCAGACACATCTGAGGGCTCCAAACCAGTTTAGTCACTCAGCAAATAGGCAGGACCTCCTCAGTGCAGGCATTGTTCTAGGTACTGGGAATAAGTGGGGAACCAGATCCCAGCTCTCACGGAGACCGACCATGTCTCCATTAACCAATAGTTTGGCAAACCAATATTAAATAGTCACAAGGTCTATAAAGCAAATAAAACAGGCTGATGGGACTGAGAGTAACTGCTAGGTAGGCAGGGAAGTCTTCTCTGAGGAAGTGTCATTGAAGCCGAGACCAGCATGACAAGGAGCTAGCTGTGGGAAGATCAGGTGGAAAAGCATTCCAAGCAGAGGGAAGAGCAAGGGCAAATGCCAGTGTAGCCAGAGCAAAGGAGGGTGACAGAGGGTGGGTGACAAGACAGGGGTGCACGTGTCACGTGCCTGGAAGTCCGGGCACGGAGGCAGGAGTTTATTCTGAGTGTCATTGAAAGCCACTAGATGCTGGCGAAGGATGCTGGATGACTGTAGCTGATGTGTTTTGAGGCCTTACTACATGCCAGGTGCTCATCAAGTCCTTTAAATGCATTAACTCTTCTAATCCTCACGAGTAATCCAGATGTGGAAACAGGCCCAGAGAGGTTAGACCACTGGCCCAAGATCACATAGCTACATTTAAAGCTCACTGGGGCTGCTGTGGGGACAGTGACGCACAGGAGACAAGAATCTCCCACAGGAGATCCCAGTGATACAAAGATTGAGCTTGTATTTCAGTAAGAAAGTGAGAAGAGGGGGCGGCTGGGGAGCTCAGTCGTTAAGCGTCTGCCTTCGGCTCAGGTCATGATCCCAGCGTCCTGGGATGGAGCCCCGGAGCCCCGCGAGCCCCACATTGGACCCCCTGCTCAGCTGGGCAGCTCCCTCTGCCTGCCGCTCCCTCTGCTTGTGCTCTCTCTGTCAGATAAATAAATAAAATCTTAAAAAAAAAAAAAAAAGGGAAAGTGAGAAGAAAGAAAACTAACATCTGCCAGGTTTTCTGCTTGAGCCAGGCTCCAGGAAGAGCGAGGGCTACTAGAGTTCAAAGCTCGAAGGCACTTCCTCCTCTGGATATCCTTAGCCCTTTCTTCCTTCCTCTCCTACACCCTTTCTGTCTCATGTGCTTGTGGTGTGTGCCCCTAACCTTAATAGCCAGCATTTATTTGGCACTGATGGTGTGCCACGTACTGTACTCAGCACATGCAATAGGCACTTTTAATTTATTCTCGCAACAACAACCTTATTGTTTCTGTTTCAGAAAGAGGGAACTAAGTCTCAGAGGTGCTTCAGTAAGGGGTCCAAGAATTGGACAAATTCCTAGAATGTGAATCCTGGTCTGTCAGACTGGAGTCTAAGCACTAATTACTGGGCTATAAACACCACCTCCCACCCTTGCACAGTTCATGGGTTTTCCAGTAGTAGCTGCATGGTGGTCTTTCCCTCTGGTTTCCTGCTAGGGTGGGTCTATATTAGTGCCAACCTCATAGGTTAAGAGGATTAAATAAGTTAGTCTCGATCTAGGATGACTAACCATCCTGGTTTGCCTGGGATGGAGGGGGTTCCCTGGAAGGGAGACGTTCAGTTTCAAAGCTAGGAAGGTCCTGGGCAAATCAGGACGTGTTGATATTCCTACCGGGATGAGTGCTTGGTGCTACATACATGTTCAGTGGACACTCACCTTTATCGCTTTTCCTTTCCTCTTTCCTCCATCGGACAACAAGAAAAGGTAGCAAGCACTACTCTGTGCAGGTGCCAGGAGCTGGGAACACCCTGCAGGCAGTAGATGGAGATACTGTGCCGAGAACCTAGCTCCAAAGGTGCGCACACACACAAAATCCACAGTCCCTGGGAAACACCCATCTTCCCTCTGGGGTGATTCCAGCAGCCTGTGCCCTGTCCACCTGGGCAGGCAGCACTTGCTTGGACCCCAGTGGGAGAAGTCTCTGGGCCTGTTAGGTCCCTAGGTAGTGACATAGAGACATTTGGCAGGGAGGTTCCCCTGGTGAAGCCTGGCAAGGAGAGGTCTTGATGATTGTGGGTGGAAAGGAAGGAAGATAATGTGTCTTGGGCATTGATTTTGCGGGTTGTCCCAAGTATCCCGCACATTTCCTTGGATGAGGACACCGAGGCGCGGTGCCCCAAGTGAAGTGACTTGCTCAGGGTCATAGAGGAAGACATGGGCACTTGGAATTTGAACCAAGGTCCCAGAGAAGCAAGGACTGTTGGGATTGGGCAGGCCGACTCCTGCACTTCCCTCCCTCCTTCCCGGCTTGGGTCCCCCACTTGTCTTGACAGCCGCCGGGCCTGTCACGGGGCTCCGTACAGCCCTCTCCACCCTCCCGGCTGCCAGCGTTCCGCCCCGTCCCCTCCCAACCCCCGAGGGAGGAGGGGAGAGCGGGAGCGAGGAGGGGGGTCGGAGAGGCCCGGCGTTATAAAGGCGGCTGGACCAGCACAGCCCGCCAGACCCCGCCGCCCGGATCCCCCGCGCAGCCCGCCGCCCCACGTGACCGCACCGACCCCCAGTTCCGCCGCAGTGAGTTGGAGGGCGCCCCCATCCACCCTCAGGCCCTCGCTGAGCCGCGTGGTCTACTGAACCCGGGGTGGGGAAGAGATCCCATGAAGGAGGGCGCTGATTTTGGGGGGGGGGGGTTGGATACCAGGCCGAATCCCGATGGCAGGGATTTAGGACCCGGCAGCCCGAGGTCTGGCCGGCAGCTCCCTCTACTCCCCCGGCGCGGGGCCTGGGAGACCGCAAGCCACCCCCCAGGAATGCGCGTGCAGCCGTTTCCATGGTAACAGGCAAGCCGCGCCTGTCCTCTGCTAAAGGAAAGGGGAGGTGGTGGAGGCGGGGGGCGCTGGTCCCCGAGGGGTCAAAACTCTTCACGCGGCGGGTGCACGGGGGGACCGAGAATGTCCCCTCCCCTTCCCCCGTGCCCCAAATCCTCTGGGAGCTAGAAGGCGAGTCGCGTCGCCTCTCTGAGCCTCAGTTTCCGCATCTGCCAAATAGAGGCAATATAATTGGTTCCAAGTTCTCCGAAGAGCTGTTTCGAGGGTAACGATCCGGCCTGTCCCTCTTCTGGTTGGACAACCGGGGAGTGGGTTTTAGCGGCCCTGATGACTCCAGCGACCCCACCCCACCCCAGGCCCGCTCGCCATGGCCCTCTTTGGGGCCCTCCTCCTAGCGCTTCTGGCAGGCGCTCATGCGGAGCTCCCCGGCTGCAAGACCCGCGTCACCTCCCAGGCGCTGGAGCTGGGTAAGGCGCGGGGCCGGGTGAGGGCCGATGAGGGAGGGGTCGCTCCAGCTGTGGGTGCAGGACCTAAGGGTCTCGCTGCTACCTCAGTGAAGCAGGAGGGCTTGCGCTTTCTGGAACAAGAGCTGGAGACCATCACCATTCCGGACCTGCGGGGCAGGGAGGGCCACTTCTACTACAACATCTCGGAGTAAGTAGGGGATCCGGGGGGCGGGGTCTCGGGCCGGGAAAACGGAGTAGGGGTAGGGGCGTGGCCACACCGAGGAGGCGGCTCTCAAGAAACAGGATGGGGCGGAGAAGATAAAGGCCAAGCCAGCCAACATAGGCGGGGCCAAGAACGGCAAAGCAGAGGCCTTGGGGGCTAAGGCGTGGCCAAAGAGCACCGGAGCCGGGGAGTCACGAAACTTGCCGATGGGTGAGAGTGGGGTAGAGCGCCCGGGGTGGAGCTACTGGGAGAGGTCCCGTGGGGACAGGAGAAATGGGGTATGTAGCTCAGCTGATGGACACAAAATCAAAGGATTCGGCTAAAAGACCAGGTCTAGGTCAAGCAACCACAGGGTGTGGGAGGGAAGGGAGTGCAAGCAATAAGGCATCTAAAGAAGGGGTGAGGGCGCCTGGGGGCTCGGTTAAGCGACTGCCTTGGGCTCAGGTCATGATCCTGGAGTCCCGGGATCGAGTCCCGCATCGGGCTCCCTGCTCGGCAGGGAGTCTGCTTCTCCCTCTGACCCTCTTCCCTCTCGTGCTCTCTGTCTCTCATTCTCTCTCTCGCAAATAAATAAATAAAATCTTTAAAAAAAATAAAAAAAGAAGGGGTGAAGCTCATCTCTGAGCTGTCCAAGTCCAGGCTGGGCACTTGAGGGAAAGTGGAAGAATTCATTCCACCCAGCTCAGCTTCCCCAGGTCTGGACTGGAAGAGGAGGGAATTAGTTTCCTGTGGCTGGGTGGACTCCCTCTTCGTGGCCCTGAAGCTGACCCGGAGGCTTCCTGCAGGGTGAAGGTCACAGAGCTGCAGCTGACGTCCTCTGAGCTCCATTTCCAGCCGGAGCAGGAGCTGGTGCTACAAATCAGCAACGCGTCCTTGGGGCTGCGCTTCCGGAGGCAGCTTCTCTACTGGTTCTTGTGAGGACCTGGCACCCTCAGGGGAGTGGAGGGTGGATCAGGAGGGCTGGGATGCCGTGGGGCTGTGGGCAGTCCTTTAGCCTTCCTAGGTCTCAATTTCTTCGTCTGTACGGTAGGGACAAGCATACCCACTTCATAAGGGTTGATAGGGTTTGGTAGAAGTGAAGTCTTATTAAGAGGTATTACGATTTATGGGGTGGGTGGCGAAGACGTGGTTAAGCTCCAAGTCGGACATTGACTGCCCCACACCCCCTTGCAGCTATGATGGAGGCTATATCAATGCCTCTGCCGAGGGTGTGTCCATCCGCACTGCTCTGCAGCTCTCCCGGGATGCCACTGGCCGTATCAAAGTGTCCAACGTCTCCTGCCAGGCCTCAGTCTCCAGAATGCACGCGGCCTTCGGGGGAACCTTCAAGTAAGCCCCCTTTGAGCCTCACTGCCATTTGCCTGGTGCAATGCAAAGTGCACACGCTTGGGAGCCGGGCCAACTGGGTCCAACGCTCAGCACACTCATTTCCCTGCTTTGTGACCTTGGGCAAGTCACTGAAGCTCTGTGCCTCAATTTCCTCCTTGGTAAGATGAGGATGACAATAGCAACTATATTATAAGATGTTGCAAAGACTAGTTGTTAATATATGTAAAAATAGGGGCACCTGGGTGGCTCAGTCGGTTAAGCAACTGCCTTCAGCTCAGGTCATGATCCTGGAGTCCCGGGATCGAGTCCCGCATCGGGCTCCCTGCTCAGCGGGGAGTCTGCTTCTCCCTCTGACCCTCCCCCCTCTCATGGTCTCTCTCTCTGTCTCATTCTCTCTCTCAAGTAAATAAATAAAAAAAAAATCTTGAAAAAAGAAAAAAGAAAAAAAAATATATGTAAAAATATTTAGAACAGTACCTGGCATATTAGTGGCTAGCTTCCTGGATAAGAGTAATTGTGAGGATCAGTATGCACAGCTGGGCATGAACTGAGTTCTCAATAACTGGCAGCTCTTACTACTACTACTAAAAACAATAGCATAATTTCAGGTTTTGGGCTGAGAAGGGAACTTTGTGATAGCTCTCAAAGAGAGTGGGAGAGAAAAGATGGTGGATTTATCATCTGGTGTTGGTATACTGTCAAGTTTTTATTTACTGAACAAATAAAGTATATGTCACTCCCTGAGGATTCATGAAGGAACTCAGAGCCTCGCTGAAGGGACAAAACATTTGTCATCGGGGCTTTGAGAGAGGAACTGAGTACTCCAGGGGTTCAGAAGAGGGCAATCTGGGAAGGCTGCCTGGAAGAGGAAGCATCTGAACCCTTACAGAGGGAAATACAGGACAGGAACTCCGAGGGTGGAAGGGAGGGCGTGAGTAAGCATCTGGAGGTGGGGATGCGTACAGCAGGTTTGAAGAACTGGGGGCAAATTCATTAGGCTGGTGGGGGGTGGGGGTTAGGGAGAGGTCTTGAGAATCAGGCTAGCGAGGGGATTCGGAAAACCTCCATTAAAGAGCTGGTAATACAAGTCAAAGTTGAGCCACCTCCCCCCTGTCTCTCTGGCCACTGATTTCTCCTGGATCTGGAGTCCCCACTCCAGAGGGGTGGGGCAGAGTCTGGGCTCACGTGGTCTCTCCCCTCCTTGCAGGAAGATTTATGAGTTCCTCTCCACATTCATCACCTCGGGGATGCGCTTCCTCCTCAACCAGCAGGTACAGCAGCAGTGTGTGTGGGGGGGTCCCCTCTCTTTGGAAGGCCCTGACTCTAGACCCCACCTCGCAGATCTGCCCCGTGCTTTACCACGCAGGGATGGTGCTCCTCAATTCCCTCCTGGACACCGTGCCTGGTGAGTTGGCGCTGGCTGGGAGGGGAGCTCCGGGCCATGCCTGGGACTGGAATGGGGCTGAGGTGGAGGCTGGGTATACTTCAGGGTGGGCCCCTGCCATGCCCTGGCTTCAAATATGGCCCCTGCTACTGACTGGCCATGTGACCCTAGGTAAGTACTCCTCTCTGGGCCTTGGTATCTTCGCTTGGCTGGCCATGCCTCCTCGTGGGGGTTGTTGTGAGGATTAACTCAGTGATGCCTGTCAAGGTCCTCGATAGGGGCTTGCTGATCACTGGGACCCTGTTTGTATTAATCCTCTGCACTTCAAAGGTGCTCAACTAACATGAATTCCCTTTTCCTGAACTGTGACCTCTGTTTGCTGGGGGGTAGAGATCATCAGGCCCCGCAACAGAGCATGGGGAGGGAGGGAGGGGCCAGAGAGAACAACAAAGGAAGGGACTCCCTTGGCATCTTGTTTAGTGATCTGATGAAACTCTTGTATTGCGGTGATGATGGTGGCAGAGGCAGTCGGCATCAATACTGCTGAGCACTAAATGCTTCCCACATAAAACTAATCTGATCCCTACAACAACCCTCTGAGGGAAGATTTATAATCACCGCTTTGTGGGTGAGAAACAGGCCCAGAAGGGTGAGCACCTCACCCAGCATCACACAGCTGGAGTGACTGAGCTCCTTCCCGCAGTTCGCAGCTCTGTGGATGAGCTGGTTGGCATCGACTACTCCCTCCTGAAGGATCCTGTAGCGTCCGACAGCAATCTGGACATGGTCTTCCGGGTGAGCTGCCTGGCTGGGAGGGCGTCTCTGACCTCACCAGACCTCCCCCTTGTCCCGTGTTGCTCGTTTGGTCCTCTGAAGGCACAGCTCCGATGAGGCCACTCCACTGCTGAGCGTGCCTGCTTGCAGGATTCGGTTCAACTCCCGGGTCTGGCTTCTGAGCCTGGTTAACCTTGTCTGGCCCCACCTTTCTAACCTCACCCTGTTTCTCGGCACTCATTCTTGCCCAAATATGCCCTCGCTTCCTACCTCAGGACCTTTGCTCATGCACTGCCCTTCCCCATCTCCCCCGGAGCAGCGGGATATACAGCTTTATGCGCATAATCGATGTCAATGTAAACTGCAGCTTTTATCATTCCTGCTCTGTATCTTTCAAGGCCCACCATGCCTCCTCCTCCCCAGCCCTTTCCTGGGCGTCCCTTCTCTGGTCTGATGGAAGTGCTCCCTTGCAGAACTCCAGCTGCCCTGCTGTGAATGCCTTTTTAAAGAGTTGTGCTAACGAGGGCACCTGGCTGGGTGTCGGTGGAGCATGCGACTCTGAATCTTGGGGTCATGAGTTCAAGCCCCATGTTGGGTGGAGAGATTACTTAAATAAATACAACTTAAAGAAGTTGTGCTAATGGGTCCCCTCAAGATAGCAGCTGGGTCCGACCCCCACCATCCCTCATGGTGCCTGACACTGGGCGTGGGAACATCTGGGTGCTGGGCCACAAGCTGACCCTGATTCCCCAACTGCAGGGGGCCTTCTTTCCCCTGGCTGAGGGGAACTGGAGCCTGCCCAACCGGGCAGTAGAGCCCCAACTGCAGGACGAGGAGCGGATGGTGTACGTGGCCTTCTCGGAGTTCTTCTTTGACTCTGCCATGGAGAGCTACTTCCGGGCGGGGGCCCTGCAGCTGTCACTGGTGGGGGACAAGGTATGCTGGGGCCTGTCTGTGGGATGGGCAAGAGGGGCCCTGTCCGGAACTCCTGATGACCCTGCCTCATCCCCTCTTCCCCTCTCCAGGTGCCCCACGATCTGGACATGCTGCTGAGGGCCACCTACTTTGGGAGCATCGTCCTGCTGGTGAGTGTTGGCGGGAGGTAGGGACGTGGCCAGGGTGGGTGGCCCTACCGCCTGCACACCAGCGAGGGGACGCGTGAGGTGTGCAGGCAGAGGCCTCCACGGCCACCATGGAGTGAACAGAAGGCCTGACCTCCTGCCTGTGGCTAAGTCCTCTTATTTGTCAAGGTCGATTCCAAGTCTGTGAAGGGCCCTTGCTACTTCCTGCTCTTCTTCATGAAGCTAGGAGGACAGCAGGCTGAGAACCCAAGCTCTCTAAGTGTAGGGACTTTAACAATGACAGATGTATTCTTTTTTTTAAGTTAAAGTTTATTTTTTTAATAATCTCTACGCCCATCGTGGGGCTCGAACTCGACCCTCAAGATGAAGAGTCGCACGCTCTACCGACTGAGCCAGCCAGGCGACCCTGATGTATTCTTTTTGCTTATTATTTTCCCTTGTTTCATGGGGAGAGGGGTGAAAGGTCAAAATTTAAGAAGTATCTCCGTGATCATTAGAGAACTTGCCCTTAATCTCCTCTACACTATACAACCTGCCAGAGCTGTCGTGAGGATTAGCTGAGTCAATTCATGTAAAGAAATTAGAGCAGCCCCTGGCGCAGGTAAGTGCTCAGGAAACGCTAGCTGCTCTCCCCACTGCTGTCATCCCCATCGTCACCATCAACCTGATGGCCAAGCACTGGTGGGGGCATGGACTCTCTGGCCAAAGTGCCCGGCTCTGAATCCCAGGTTCCGCACCTGGGTGACCACAGAACCTTGGACAAGTTACTTAACTTCTCTGTGCCTCGGTGTCCCCATCTCAAAGATGAGTACGGTAATTCCTGCCTCACGTGGTTATGATGAGGTTTAAATGAGCTAACACAGGCAAAGTATTGGTCAGCGCCTCCAGGAGAAAGAGCAGAGCAGTTCAGAGAAGGGCAATACGGCGGGGGGGGAGGGGGGGAGATGTGATGCAAACACTGTCCCCGAGGAGTCTGGTTGCAGATGGATCCCCCACCACCGAGAACTCAGGACAGCAGGAAAAGGAGACATTCCATCCCTCGTGTCAGCAAAGACACAGAGGCTGGACACAGTCCTGAAGGGTCTGGGAAGCCACACCAGTCCTCGTATTTGTGTGTTTGGGCTCCCAGCAGGCAGAGCCTGAGCCACCCCATCTCCCCTCCCGGGGCTCATCAGGGAACAGATCTGGGACTTCCCCCGCCCTCCCTACTCTGTCCCCAGAGCCCAGCAGTGATCGACTCCCCGCTGAAGCTGGAGCTGCGCGTCCTGGCTCCACCTCGCTGCACCATCAAGCCCTCGGGTACCACGGTCTCTGTCACTGCCAGTGTCACCATCGCCCTGGTCCCCCCAGACCAGCCCGAGGTCCAGCTGTCCAGCATGACCATGGTGCGGGCACCAGAGTGGGGGCTACGGAGGGTCAGGGACAGTGTGCTGCGGACCCTGTGGGCCAGTAACCCTTCCCCAACCCCCTTGCCTGCAGGACGCCCGTCTCAGCGCCAAGATGGCACTCCGGGGGAAGGCGCTGCGCACCCAGCTGGACCTGCGCCGGTAAGCAGCTGGCCAAGATCTCGGGCGAGCGCTTAACCTCGCTGAGCCTCCGTGCACCCGCCCAAGAGCTGGGGAGCAAAAATCCACTCAGACCTATAGCCACTGGGGGAGCTAGGGAAAAATAGCATCTACTATGCTAGCCACAGGTAGCTAGTGGCTCTTACATGGCAAATGCAAACATGCGACATTTTGCAAAAGTTCTACTGGACAGCACTGTCCCAGGGGTTAAATGAGATACTGCAGGGTCATGGTTAAGAGCCTAGATTCTAGAGGCAGTTTCTGCCCTTTACCACCTGTGAGACCGCAGGCAAATTACTTCCTCTCTCTAGGCTTGATCTGCTTCCTCTAAAAAGTGCAAATCAATTTCATAGTGCCGCCTCCTTAGGGTTATCAGGATGAAGTCAAGTTGGCATTTTAAAATATCTTAATATTTAACTTTTGTAACATGCTTATTATCTGGGAGGGAGCGAGCTCTGTACGGTTGGTTAAATAAACACAAACCATACGTGCAAAGCTACCAGCACAAGGCTGGTATACAGGAAGTGGTCGACAAAGTAAAAGTAGCAAACCTGGACAAAAGGAATCCCAAGAGGGAGAAAGGACTCCCCCAGGGATGCACACCTGGCGAGTGGCAGAACCCCCGGACAGATGTGGAGGTGGGGGCATCTGCGGCTGAGACTCGGGGGCTTCTGGTGGCCCGAGGAGGGGGAGCGTTCGGGCCTTGTGCCCACTGGACACTTCTTTCTCTCCTGTAGGTTCCGAATCTACTCGAACCAGTCCGCCCTGGAGTCACTGGCCGTGAGTTGGGGGGTGGCGGGGGTGCCGAGGCCGGGTCGGGGCTGGGCAGCGAAGGCCAGGCCGCTTCCTGCTGGCTGCCCTAATGTCCTGCCTCCTCCCTCCCAGCTGATCCCGCTGCAGGCCCCTCTGAAGACCATGCTGCAGATTGGGGTGATGCCCATGCTCAATGGTAGGGCTGGGGGTCGGGAGGCAGGAGAGAGAAAGGCGAGGGGAGCTGGGTGGGCCCAAGCTGAGCCACCTGCTCCCACCCACAGAGCGGATGTGGCGGGGGGTGCAGATCCCGCTGCCCGAGGGTATCAACTTTGTGCGCGAGGTGGTGACGAACCATGCGGTGAGTAGGGGGCGGTGAGGGAGGAGGGCAGAGGCTCCCTGCCCCTGCTTCACCACCGACCTAACTCTGCTACCCGACCCCAGCCCCTCCCTTATCAACGGCCCCTCCCATTTTAATCTTCCATCATCAGACTTCTCCAGCCCTCTGCACAGCTGGGCTGTCACCTTGTAAACCTCTTCCCGGATTCCACCCCCAATATCTACTCCTCTTGAACGTCTGAGCTAAGAGGTCACCTCCTCTAGGAAGTCCTCCTTGACCTCCACAGACTGTGCTCCTGCAGCCTCTCTTTTCCACCCTTCACAGGGAGCTAGAACTTCTTTGCTGTTCCTCCTGTCCCACTAAATTGAAAACCCCTTGAGGCTAAGGACTGTGGCTCTATCTTGAAATTTTTGGCCTGTGATGGAATGAACAGACTCCCCTCTCTGCCCCCACCGCACAGGGCTTCCTCACTATTGGGGCCGACCTCCACTTTGCCAAAGGACTACGAGAGGTGATTGAGAAGAACCGGCCTGCCGACACCAGGGACTCCTGGGCGCCCAGTGCCCCACCGCCCTCCACGACAGCTGCCTGAGCCCTCAAGCCCACCCTGGCAGGGGCATTCAGGACTCTGACACCCCTCGTCCCCTCCCCCAGCCCCCGCCCCCCCCCTCCCCAGCCCATAGTGCCACAGAGAAGACAGGGCTTGAAGCTGTACCCAATTTAATTCCATCATCAGTCAATCCATCAATTACAGTCCGTCCACCCTCCCCGTGGGCTGTCCTGAGCTCTGCTGTGTTCTAGTGCATGAAGGGAGGGGGCCAGGCCCCACCCCAGTCAGGAATAAAGTGCTAACTCCCCCAGGCTGTCTATGTGAGGCACTGGGGCCTGGTCTGGGAGGCAGAGGGCTGTGGAGGGGGCAAAGGGGAAGCTGTTCTGGAGGCAGGGATCCGCCCCACAGGGGCATTTTGCATAAAGGGGGACCTCCCTTCTAGCAGGAGGGGCAGGAAAGAGGGGCTGGATCAGGCAGAAGGGGGACTGTCTCCATCAGTATGGCTGCTTATTCAGGAAGCGGGAGAACATGGTGAGGGCAGCCTGGGGCTTGTCGGTGGGGACCATGTGCCCAGCGCCCTAGGAGCAAAGCTCTGTGAGATCCCCTTCTTGTGTAACCCCTGCCCGTGGGTGTGTCCTCCAACCTACTGGATCCCTCCAACCGGTGACCTTCCTCTTCTCCCAGCCCTGCCCCAAGCACTGCATTTTTCCCGCCCCCGCCCGAAAACCTGCTCCTAGGGGGCCAAGATGGGATCCCGGTAACCCAGTGTAAAGGGAGCTGGAAGGAGGGCAGGTAGGTGTTGCCCCATCCCCTCCAGCCAAGCCAGCCCCTGCCAGGCCCAGGCCCTACCTTGATGGTGAGAAAGGCAATGTGGGAGAACTCCTTCACGAAGCCAGCAATCTGCTCCCCACTGTCCCCATAGTCCACTAACCAGGGCCGGCGCTGGACCTCCATCTGCCCCACCAGGAAAAGACTTAGCAGCCTGCTGCCGCACCATCATCGCTGCTCATGGCTGCCAGGAGACCTCAGGGGCCCGGAACTCCCCCAGGTTTGCCCTGTCTGCCCACAGCCTAGCTGCCGGGCACAGCTGCCCTATCCCTCCCCAGAGCCAGGATCCTTGCGCCGTACCTTCTGGTTGAGGGAATCCACAAACCACTCATCCCCCATGAAATTGCAGGCCATATCCACATCTCCGTTGTAGAGCAGGATTCGGTATTTCTGCAGCAGGGCAGGGGAGGGAATGGGGGGTCTGGAATGAGCCCAGGTCCCAGCCCTTCCCTGGTTCAAGCCCTACCCCTGCCGGGAATTCAAGGGGCCCAGTGAAATAGCACAAAGCAGGAAACGCTGCGTTTTCTGACTGTTCTCTACATGTCCAGTGCTCTACGAAATGCTTCACCTATGCAGGCAAATACTATTATTAACCCCATCTGACAGGTGGGGAAAGCAAGTCTCAAGATATAAGAAACCTGCCCAGGGTCACACAGCTAGTAAAGAAACTTGCACACAGGCGATCTGGCCCTAGAGCTCACGCTCTAACCACTGTGCTGTACAGAACCTGGTCCTGTCTGGCTGTCAGGGTCTCCTAGATGATCTTGGACAAGACCCTCTCCCACCCTGAACCTCCATTTGCTTGTCTATCGCACGTTCTCCTAGCTCTTCTCAACCTAACGTCTCCTTGGCTGACGCAGACCCCCTAGCCTCCTACGAAGAGAACAGCATGGGATGGGGACAAAGCCATGTTCAAATCATGACCCTGCCAGTCACTGGGCTTCATTTCTTGGAGTTTCAGCTTCCTGTGTCCGGAGTGGCACTTAAAGGGGGCCCCACCTTATCATGCTGCTCCAGGGTCCCGAGGCTGCTGGTGGACCCAGCGGTGCTGCCCCCACTCACCTGCGCGGTGAGCAGCTTCAGGTACTGGGACTGCATGCTTTGGTAGAGACGGCGGTACTGTATGTTCACCAGGAAGCTGCGGGAGGACGTGGGCAGGCCCCAGGAAGACGGGGTAAAGACAGACAAAAAGTCACAGAGCAGATCTCCTCTCCTAGCCCCTCCTAGCTCTAAGCTCCAGCCCAGGAGGCAGAGCTGGGATTCAGTCCCCTCCTCGTGTCACTTCTCTAGGACTTACTTGGATGAGGGACTGGAATTCAGAGGTCCTCAACTCGCCCCCATTTAGAAACGTATATAGGAACGTTTAGTCATGGGTCCACAGCCGGCATTTCGTGCCGAGGGGCCCACAGGTCTGAGAACCGCAGCAGGGAACAACAGGAGGGCAGGGGCACCGGCCAGTGAGAGGACCTGAGTGGCCCCACGGGGCCAGGCGTCACCCTGTTACTCACACGGGTCATAGGAGGTCCGTGCAACTGGGGACTGCAGTAGAGTGGGGGGGTGGGGGAGACGGTCTGGTATACTAAATACCAGGGATGCAAACCACCATTTTACCAACCGATGCGGCCGTTTAAGAATGAATTGGCAAAACAGCAATCGATTGAAGGGTCAAACATCCTGCACAACTCACCGCGGCACCCTGAGTGCCACCCCAGAGAGACCCTGGCCAAGGGATCCCTGGGAACCTGATACCCATGAGCCCTGAGCCTGCCACCCCCAGAGCCTCACTTGCACATGTCCCAGCGGGGCAGCTGCTCGGGGACGTGAAGGGCCTTCCGCACGTAAGGGTTGTTGAGGTACGTGGAGGCGGCCGTGGTGTTGGTGCAGGGCGGGTCCATGCGCAACCTATTCCCGGAACGCAGCAGCGCCTGGCGGCACCGCCTGAAGGTCAGGGTCTTCGCCTCCCTGCCCCACCCCCACCAGAAGCCGGGCGCTTGCACACCTGATGCCATATCCGCTTCAGCGGCAGGCGAGTGAAGATGTTGCCCAAGTCATGGAGCACGACAGTGTCCTTCTCGTACCTGCAAGTGCAGTGAGGGATGGGTGCCTCGGCCTTCAGGTGAGGCTGGACCCAACCCCCCCCCCCCCCCCGGACACACCGCAGGGCCTACCTTAAATGGCCAGGCACACCCCCAGCACAGGGGGCATAGAGGTTGTAAATGTTGAGGCCGGAGTTGCCGACGATGCGGGACACTTCCTGCAGCTGCAATGACACGCCGAGCCACCCCGTGTCACAGAACCCCGGCCTCCCCAGGATCCCACCAATGCGTCCCAAGATCGCTCTCCTACTTCACCTCTTGTCATTACCCTTCCCCCGCTTTATTTTACAGGTAGGGAAACTGAGGCTCAGTGGAAGGAATCTGCCAGCCCAGGGTCCAAACCCTGGTGCCTCTACTCCCTAGCACTGCGACTTCAGGCGAGTGACTTTAACATTCTTGGCCTCAGTTTCCTCTAACGGAAAATGTGGACAATACAATTTTCCCTAAAGGAGAATCTTGAAGATTAAATAATCTGCACTGACCTACGTCAGCCCGGTGCCTGGCACACCGTAGGTGCTCGATAAGTGAGAGATCCTTTCCCTCCCAGGGGTTACAGGATTTGCCCAGGAGGTCACAGGAAGTGGGGATAGGAACACATCCCTCGACGTGTCCCAGAAAACACCAACTTGCTGAAGGAGGCAGGACAGCAAAGCCATAGGGGACACGGGGTTAGGGAGTCCCCAAGGAGGGGATGTGGTCCCGTTCTCTGGGCTGGGGGTGTCGGGGTGACAAGAGGTTGGGGGCAGAACCTCACATTGGTCACGCATTCTGGGTCAGTGTTGTCGTAGAAATTACACTTGTTTTGAGAGCAGCAGTGGGTCTGGAGAGAAGACCAGAGCCTGTAGGAGATGCATGAAAGTGTTCAGGCCCCAAGCGGGCCTCCCACCCTCTCCCTCCAACCTCCCACCACCACCTGCCCCCAGGGGACGAGGAAACGGATCACAGGGAATGGTATGTAGGTTCCAAACCTAGCTACTCTGGGGCCACCCTGCCAGCCCTCCTCAGTCCCTTCCAGCAACCTCAGCCCCCACCTCCTGTTCATAAACCATGGTAGGGCCCCGTGGGGTGTCACGCCTGTGCCTGGAGAGCAGACCTGAGATCTCATGACCTGCCCCACCCTGGAGATTGCCCAACCGCCCCCTCCCATACCTGTTCCCCAGAAGGCCGTGGTAGTAGGCAAAATAGACCAGGGAGTTGTCATTCTGCTCATAGGAGGAGAGTCCGTTGCCCACGGCCAGCCCCTGTGAAACACCCAGGGCATTCAGGTCATCTGGAGGGAGAGGAGGAGCCTCCCCTGACTACACCCAGACCTCCAGCAATCTGGAAGCTGAAATCCAAGGTGGTTTGTGGCGAGGCCACTCAAAGAACAGAGCTGGCTGGCTGACAGGTGAGCTTCCTGTCGTGGGAGGCACACGAGCAGAGGCAGGCCAGGCAGTGGCAAGCACGTTACAAAGGAGACCAGGTTGGACGGGGAAGATGGCCTGTTTGACCTCGCTCACCGAAAGGCCATGACCATAAGCTGCCTCACTTCCCTCCTGCCAGCGGCCCTGTACCTGAAGGTTCATGCTGGGATCCTGCATGACCAACACCGCCAGGGTGGGGATGTAGATGCCGGCATAGCTCTCTCCTGTTAGGAAAAGCTCATTGTCCTTGTACTCAGGGAAGAGGCGGAAGAAATCCTTCAGGGCCTCAAAATTGCTCTGGGCGACCTAGGGAAAGCAGGATGGAGGGAATCAAAGGGTTCTGCTATTTGAGCTGGAAAGAACCTCAGAGATAGGGCGCCTGGGTGGCTCAGTTGGTTAAGCGACTGCCTTCGGCTCAGGTCATGGTCCTGGAGTCCCGGGATCGAGTCCCACATCGGGCTCCCTGCTCAGCGGGGAGTCTGCTTCTCCCTCTGACCCTCCCCCCTCTCATGTGCTCTCTCTCTCTCTCTCTCTTTCTCACTCTCTCAAATAAATAAGTAAAATCTTAAAAAAAAAAAAAAAAAAGAACCTCAGAGATAATGACACCCACCCACTCTGAGCAAGAGGAAGTGGCTTTGCCAAGACCACACACAGTATGTGACAGAGCCAAAAACAGGCTCCAAGGCCATGTTCTTCTCCCCCCGGGTCGTGCCACCCTTAGAGAACCAGGGAGGCTGGGGCACGGGGCACGGGGTGGGCACTGGACTCACCTCGGTGTCGTTGGTTGCGTAAGTCTTGTCATCAGAGTAGGAGAAGCCCACCCCAGCTGGGGACTCAAGGTACAACACGTTGGCAATCTACATGGCAGGAGGAAAGCAACTGAAGAAGGCTCCCCACCCCATCCAAGTGCCCAGACACCCCCACAGGACCCACAGCTCCAGCTATACCAGGTTCCAAGAATAGGGGTTGTACTCCAGGGTGGCACCATCTGGCTGCACCTGAGGAGGAGAGAGATGGCTAAGTGCCAAGCGCCAGCTGGGTGGAAGGAAAAGGGCCACCTTGCTGGGCACTCCCCCTTCGGGCAAAACCCCTGAGAGGTACAGAGAGTCAAGCCAATGGTACAGACGACGGAACCCAAGCTCAGGGAAAGGGCACACTTGGGAACACCCCCAAGTCCCATTCTCCCTCCTCCCCAGTCTTTTCCTTTAGGGACAGTACCCTTCCTCTCCCCTTCCTGGCTGGGGGTAGGGGGGAGACAGTGGCTTCCCACTCACCAGGAAGGGGCCGTGCTCCGTGAGGAAGCCATCTAGGGAGCTGCAGCCGGGCCCTCCGTTGAGCCAAAGCACCAGAGGGCTGCTCTTGGGATCCTTCTGGGACTCCACAAACCTGGGAGGGGAGGCAGAGCAGGGTGGGTGCAGGCGGAGGGACCCCTTCCAGCGCTCCCTGCTCCCAGGCTCCCCCGGGGGTCTTCAGACCCTCCCCCAGCTCGCGCGCCGTCCCCTCCCCGCCCCGGAGGGAGGGCCGCAGACCAGTAGTGCAGGTGCTTGGAGCCGGAGCCACGGAGGTAGCCGGAGTACTGGCGGAAAGCTGGCTGCTTGGCCAACCCGGGCAGGCACTGGATCTCATCCAGGTCCGGCGCTGCCTGGCCCGGGGGCGCCCAGGGCAGCAACAGCAGCAGCAGCAGCAGCAGCCAAGGCGGCGACAGCGCGGCCCCGACCATCTGCGGAAGCAAGCGGGGCAGCCTGTTTCCGCGCTCCCTCGCTCCTCGGCGCTTCCGTGTGGCCGCCCCGCCGAGGAGCTGGCGGCGGCGGCGTGGCTGCCAGAGGAGTCCCCGGCCGGGCCCCAGCGCCCCTCACCCCCGCCCCGCCGCCCGGCCCTGGGCTGCGGGTCCCCTCCAGCCTCCCCGGGCGCCCTCACCTCTGCTCCCCCGCGTCCTCGCTCTCCAGGAGGGGCCCGGCCGCGGGAGGTCATGTGGAGTCGGAGTCACGTGGGTGCCGGCGTCACGTGACCACCGTCCTCCGGCGCCTCGCCGGGTCCCCTGGACCGGTGGCTCGCAGGCGGCGGCCTGCGCGGGGTCAGAGTCCGCGGTCCTCCCAGGTCGTCTCGCGCGCGCCAGCCATCAGATGACCTAGACGTGGGCGGCCAGGATGCCTCGGCCTCCCGGGGGCCCGGGTCCAGGTGGAATGGCTGAGCAAGCGGCGCTAGGACCCCAGGGCAGAGCCTCGAGGAAGGCAGTCGGGGGGATGGGAGGGTTACCTTACTTGGTGCCCCCGCGGTCACCCTCTGAGCACGCCTCCCAAAATAGCGCCCGGCGCCCGCTAGCCTGTCTCGTGGCCGGGAGATGGCTGCTGTCTCAGACCGCGTGGACTTGGGTGCGGCCTGGCGGTCCGCGCGCCCCGAGCCCCCTCCCACCCGCTTCCACCAGGTGCACGGTGCCAACATCCGCGTGGACCCCTCCGGGACGCGGGCCACACGCGTGGAGAGTTTCGCTCACGGCGTATGCTTCAGTCGCGAGCCGTTGGCCCCGGGCCAGGTATTCCTGGTCGAGATCGAGGAGAAAGAGCTGGGCTGGTGCGGGCACCTGCGCCTCGGCCTGACCGCGCTGGACCCCGCCACTCTGGCTGCCGTGCCCGAGTTTTCGCTGCCCGACCTGGTCAGCCTCGGCCACACCTGGGTCTTCGCCATCACGCGCCATCACAACCGCGTGCCCCGGGAGGACCGCCCGGAGGCAGAGGCATTGGTCCCCGGCCGCCCCCCAGCCCTCCTGGTGGAACCGTATCTGTGCATTGAGCAGTTTCGCATTCCCCGCGACCGCCTGGTGGGTCGCAGCCGGCCCGGGCTCTACAGCCACCTCTTGGATCAGCTGTATGAGCTGAACGTGCTGCCTCCGACCGCGCGCCGCAGCCGCCTGGGCGTTCTTTTCTGCCCGCGCCCGGACGGCACGGCCGACATGCACATCGTCATCAACGGCGAGGACATGGGCCCCAGCGCTCGAGGGCTGCCAGCCGCTCAGCCCCTCTACGCAGTGGTGGACGTGTTTGCCTCCACCAAGAGCGTGCGCCTGGTCCAGCTCGAGTACGGCTGTAGGTATCCCACCCCCTGAGCAGCGACCCCTCCTGGCCCAGTGCGGGGACAGGAACTTGCTAGGATTCCCAAGCCAGCTAGCAAGGCTTTGGTCTGTCCAGCATTAGTTTAGAAGTTGGGGAATCTGACTTCAAATTCTGCCTCTGCTTGGGATCTTGGACAAGTCAGTCCCTGGCTCTGGGCCTCCGATTCGCCATCTCAGCTGTGATCCATTAGGTTGCTTGCTTTGCCAGTATCTTCTGTATTAACCTAGGGCAGGTATTCTAAACTGTTATACCCGGGTTGCTTTGAAAATTGTGTGCTCTTTTATTAGACAAATGCTCCTAGATTTGGGCATACCAGTTTACAGACATCATAGGCTCCAGATTGAGAACGTTTTATTCGTGAGATCTGGTCCTTTATAGCCCTCTTAAGCCCTTTATTTATACCTCTGATCATTTTATGAATTCAGTGAACTAGAACCCACTCTTGTGTCAGACCTGTGCTGGAGGATGGGCGTGCACGGGTGAATCAGGCACTACCTGTACCCCTGGCAACTGCTAAGGGAGGGTTAAAATAGAAATAGGGCTGCTGCATTGTGGAGGTTTCGAAAGAGGTGCTTATGTCAACCACATGAACAGCCCTGTGTCACAGGCTGGACCTGGAGAGCAGAAGGGACTTGCCCAAGTTAATGACAAAGGGAGAACCAGGACCTAGATCTTCTGGGTCTCAGCCTCAAAACCCCCCTCCAGTTCAGTTTGCCTTTGACAGCCTTCTCTCCACAGTGCCATCCCTGCAGACTCTGTGCCGCCTAGTCATCCAGAAGAGCGTGGTGCACCGGTTGGCCATTGATGGGCTCCACCTGCCGAAAGGACTTAAGGATTTCTGCAAGTACGAGTAAAGGCCTGCAGCCGCCCTGAAACAGGGCCACAGGAGCGTGTCCTGGCCCCGGAGCTGTGGCTGGTCTGAAGCTGGCCATATTGCTGCCAGCCAGGCCTGGAAATAAACACAGCCGATGCTGACACTGATCATTGGAGGGTCTCCTTGCCCTGGAAGCCTGTGAGCGGCACTCCTTCTAGAATCGCTGTGGGTTAGCAGGTCAGAGCAAGACAGGGTATTCTATTTTTATTTATTTATTTTTAAGATTTTATTTATTTGAGAGACAGAGTGAGCAAAAGAGAGAGAGCACAGGAGCAGGAGCAGAAGGAGGGAGAAACAGCCTCCCCTGCAGAGCAGGGAGCCCGATGCGGGGCTCCATCCCAGGACCCTGGGATCATGACCTGAGCCAAAGGCAGACACTTAATGGACTGAGCCACCTGGGTGCCCCTAGACAGAGCATTATGGACATCACCTAGATCATTGGTTCCTAGCCTGGCTACTCATTAGCATTATGTGGGATAAACTAAAGAGCTGATGCCCCAAACCCCATCTCCAGAGAGTCCCATTCCATTTGTTGGAGGATTAGGCCTAGACGTTGTTCTTTTGTAGAAGCTCAGCCAGGATTGAGGAGGATTCCCCTAGAATAGAGGTCTTGACTTTGGCATATATTGTAACCACTTGAGGAACTTTGAAAAATACTGCTAACTGGGTCTGACCCAGGGATTCTGATTTAATTGGTCTGGGACGAGGCTGGGCATCAGGATTTCTTTTTTTTTTTTTTTTTTTAAAGATTTTATTTATTTATTTGAGAGAGAGAGAATGAGAAAGAGAGAGAGAGAGCACATGAGACGGGGGAGGGTCAGAGGGAGAAGCAGACTCCCTGCCGAACAGGGAGCCCGATGCGGGACTTGATCCCGGGACTCCAGGATCATGACCTGAGCCGAAGGCAGTCGCTTAACCGAATGAGCCACCCAGGCACCCTGGGCATCAGGATTTCTAAGCGCTCCCCAGAGAATTTAATGTGCATCCCAGCATGAGACCCAGTGCCCTGGACCAACGATTTCATTTTGCAGATGGGAAAACGAAGCCTAGAGGTGGCAATGTATTCCAAAGTCACACAGCAAAGGAGTAAGTGCAGAGAACTTCTCTCATACTGCAGAGCACAAAGCACTCACCTCTTTATTTGTATCTCTGATCCTTTGCTTCCATTACAGATAATCTCATTTAATCCTCACAACTTCTGGTGAGGGAGTGGGTAGTCATTACTTCCACCTTACAAAGGAGAGTATCAAGGAACAAAACTGTCCAAGTGACTTGCCCAAAGTAGAGGTAAGAACCTAGAATGTCCTGGTCCAGCACTCTTAACCCCATGCCATTGTCATATACAGGTTCTAGAATGAACAGGTCAGTGCTGTGAGGTGGGTTCCAGGTGTAAAGGGGAGGGACTATGAGGTGACATTCTAGAATGGTGGAAAGGGTAGGACTGGAGGCAGACAACTGTTCCCTCACAAACGGGGGCTTTGGGGCAGCCATGTCCTATTTCATGTCTCCACAAACTCATCAAGGTCTTCTGCCTTCCAGCCAAGGTGAGAGAGAGGGTCCTGGAACTGGAGGGGGTACCACAACTTTCCCTGAGAACTCGTTTCCTGGCTCTGGGGAGGTGGAGGTTCTGCTGGACATTTTTGGGCTGGCCCTGGAGTCAATTCTCTGAAGAAAGCCATTCCAAAAGTCCTTGCTAGTAGCTACCTGCTAACTCACTCATTGACTCAACAAACACTTCTCCAGTACTTACTCGGTGTTGGGGACTGGGGCTGTGGATACAAGTAAAACACCTAGTTCCCAACCACTAGACAGCCCTGTTGGGCTGGTCTTAATTGCTCCTGTTTCCAGTGCTCTTGATCCTATGCCCTGCCCCTCAGGGCCTCCTGAAAGACACCAAGAATAACATTCCATCTCATTCCTGTCTCTACAGGTGGGGCTGTTTCTCCAGGCTCATCCCTTGGCCTCTATAGTCCTATAGAGCCAGTGGTGGTGGCCTCTAGTGGACTAGGCCCACTGGGCCAGAAAGCTGAGCAGGTGGCACCTGTTGCCCAGGCCTGGGGTCTGGCCCTGGCAGTGCCAGAAGCCAGGGGCTGCCCTGGGGGAGCTAGCTGGGAGACACTGCAGCGGAAGGAGTATGGCCAATACAACCACAAATTCCCCCACACAAGACAGCCGGAGAGCTTGGGCTGGGAGGATGGATGCTCCAGAAGCAGAGCTCCCCACCTGGGTGGCCCTGGCAGGCCCGGGCCCCTGCTGCTGTGTGGGCTATCACCAGGGGTTCTACCGACGTCCTCTGAGGCAGTGGGGAAGGAGGCCGGCTCCCAGCCTGACATCTGCATCCTCACCCTGGCCATGATGATCGCTGGCATCCCCACCGTGCCTGTCCCAGGCCTGCGGGAAGAGGACCTGATCCGGGCGGCTCAAGCTTTCATGATGGTGCATCCGGAGTCAGAGGGGGCCATGGAGGGGGCGCGGCGGGAGCAGGCACGTGCCCACACAGCCTCTGGGCAAGCGCCTCTAATGAGATCCAGGAGAGGCCAGCCTCCTGGCTCCTGCTTGTAGCTGGATGAAATAGCACCAGACACATAGGGTGGCTTCTCTGTATGGTTTTTGGGCAGATAGAATTGGGAGTGCCTGTGACATGGATGGGGATAAGGGGGTTCTTTGAGCCACTCTGGTCAATACAAGTCTTTCATCAGGGCCCAGACCCCAGGAAGTTTCTCCAGACACCACTAAGTTAGGAGATGGTGTAATGAAAATTACCTGAGGTAGGGGGCCTGGCTTGGAGTGGAGGCCTCTTTTGTATTGTTTTGGGATTCGATCAAGATGTCTGGTACAAAGTCCTAGGCAATGTGAATTTTCCCCTTGCCTTACATTTCCCAGCCAGCTGAGGGCAAGTGATGGGACCAAGAGCAAGGAAGGAAAATGAACAGTTATTTGAGCACCCACTGGTCATGGGCCCATTACATGCATTCTTTAATCTTAGCAATGCTGTGAGGATCTCCATTTTTACAGATGAACAGATTGAGCCTTTTGAGGGGTGACTTGCCTGATGTCCCAGAGCTAGTAAAAGCTACAATCAGGCCTCAAAAAGCAGGCAGAGAAAGAACCGGGATTTGCATGTAGTGTCAGACTCCAAAGTCTATTCTTTTCCCCGATATTTGCTCTGCTGCCTTCTAGAAGACAAGACAAGACGAGTGCTGGAATAGGCAACATTGACTTTAATGACCTCCAGGTGGGGGCCAGGGGACAAAGGCTGGGATCCACCGCCTCTCCTCTGTGGGTCAGGTGAGTCATCTAATGACTGGGGAAGCTGTTACCAAAACCCTGCCCTTGATCTCCACCCAGTGTCTTATCCTAGAGCAGGGCCACCTTTTTCTAAGGCCCTGGAGCTAAGAATGGTTTTTAAGCCTTTGAAGAGGCTGCCAAACAAAAGCAAACCAAGAACATACAACAGAAACTGTGGCCAGCAAAGTCTAAAATATTCACCACCGGACCCTTTACAGAAAAGGTTTGCAGACTCCTGTCTTAGGAACTAGACACATTTTAGGTAACAGGCTGTGGTAGAATAGAAGGCCCTTGTCCTTTCCTGGAAGGCAAGCTTTCATGATGGTGCATCCAGAGCCAGAGGGGGCCACGGAGGGGGCGCGGTGGGCCCACGGAAGTGTAATAGTGTGACTCTATGTTGTGTGTATAGGGGTGGATGTGAGTGTGTACATGTGCATGTGCATCTCTGGGCATGGAGGGTTAATCAGAGCTGGACCTGCTCATAAGGGCCGATCCAGCTGTCGGCCAGCTCCCGCAGGGTGTTGTACCTCCGTTCAAACTCCTCCTGGCTGCAGTGCTGCAAGAGCTGACCCACCTCCTCGGTGAGGAGAGCCACGGCCAAGTGCTTATCCAGCGTCTCACTCCACTTGCTGCCCAGGATGTTATCTAGACCGGCGGCACAGCCTGCCGTCCACCGGGCCGGCAGCATGTCGGGCTGGAGCACCTGGTGGCGGGCACTGAGCATGGCCAGGACGTGGCGGCAGGGCAGGCGGAAGGCCTGGTGAAAGTAGCAGCTGCAGCTGGTAGGGGGCTGGGGCTGCACCCGATGGGTGTCCTCCAGGATCTGGATGTTCACCTTCTCCGAGCCGGAGCCGATGAGGTGCACAGATTTCTGGACCACAGCGAGCTCACCCAGACAGAGCTGGGCGGCCGGCCCCGTGCAGATGGCATTGAGGGAGCGCTGGATGCGGGCTTCTACCAGCTGCTCCACTTTGGGGCTTTCGGGGCTGACGTCTAAGGGGGCGTGACTGTTCTGGGGACTCAGGCCCAGGCTGAAGCTTGCCTCGTCTCCCGCGTTCTGCTGCATGTATCGGAGCAGAGAGGCCATGCCTTGTTCCACACATGGAGTGGTGCCGAAGAGCTGGCTGAGGACACGGGTGGTGACCTCCAGGCCCTGGAAGTAGCGGCTGCTCTCAGCTCGGCTTCTCCAGCGGTGGGCCAGCCAGATGCGGTCATTGAGCAGCCAGTGTGAGTGGAGCTCAGGCAGCTGGGCCGGAGGGATGCAGCTGCTCAGGAGTGTATAGAGCTTCCTCAGGTTGCCAGCTGTGGCTGAGCACATCGTGCTCTGAAGCGAAGTGAGGAGCACCCTCTCCACAGGCTGTTCAAGGGACAGCTGATAGAACTTGCCCTGGAGGAACTTACAGATGTGAAAGGCCGAGAGCAGGACCTCGGCTGCGGGGAACTCCATTGCGAGGGTGGGCAGCGGGAGGAAGTGGGGATCCACCAGGATGGTACAGACTCTCTCCCATGCTGGGTTAAACTTCTTGAACACCTGGAACATCTGGGCCAGGCCCTCAGCATCCTCCTTGGCAGGAATGGCGAAGTAGACTGCCCGGGCAAGATGACCCTCCAGCTGCACCCGAGGTCCATCTACCAGGAAGGTATATAGCACCTTGCCTACTGGGTTATAGGTCCGGTGGATAAATAAGATCTCAGGGAAATGGGCAAAGACACCTTGCATAAAGCAGCTTTGGTAGTTGACGGTATCTAACTGAGCAGTCTTGCTAACCTGATACAGCAGCATAGGTGCGTTTGGGTCCTCAATCAGGAGCTCATTCAGCATTGTCAGGGCCATGGGGGAGATGGGAGATGTCTAGATGCCAAGGTCAAAATACTTTCTCTGCCAGGAGAATCTCAGGATCTCAAGCTCCACCTAAGCTGAAGCCGGAATGTAGTTCCCTGATCTTGTTCCAAAGATGGGCGTATGGAGAGGAACAGAATTTTAAGGAGACAGTAGGGGCTTGGCTCCTCGATTATTCATCCAGACAATCAGCACTGTTCTGGGGGAGACACATAATAAACATGTAAACAGATATAGATATAACAGGCAAAGACCACAGAACTGGGTAACAGGTAGGGAGTAAGTTGGGGGAGGGAGAGATATTTAGCTAAGGTGGCCAGGGAAGCTCTCTCTGGGTCGGGAGAGGGGATGACATTGGAGCTGAGACCTAACTGATAAACTGGCCATGGAAAGATTCAGTTCCCAGAGATTTAACTGGGTGTGAAGGCTAGAGCTGCATATGGTCTCCCAGCCCCCACCTTAAATAGCATTTTAAATATTTGTCTAGCACTCTATATTTACAGATTACCACTTGGCATCCATTCTTCCATTTGATCCGAGTATATATAAGGGAACTATAATTCCCCCTCAAATTGTATGATTCTGGGCAAGTCAGTGACTCCCTCTGAGCCTCAAGCCCTTGAACCACGCACAGAGGCTATCAAATGTGCATGGCTGCTCCTCCCTCCATAAATCCCTCTATTAACTGCAGTACTCTGTTTAAAAGTTTCCTCTATTTGCCCCAAACCGGGTTACTGTCCCCATTTTACAGATGAGAAACTGAGGTTCAAAGAGGTTAAGTGATTTGCCCACCATTACTCCTTAAGTGGCTGGAAGCTCAGTCTTTGGCTCGGGATCCTGACTGCTTTCCACAGTACCTGAGGTCCAAACACCAGAGAGAGGACGCAGCCTCTGACCTCTCACCTCTCACCTCTAACCCGGGTGGGAGGATGTAGATGGCAGACGTTCCCATTCGGAGTCCGGCCGGAGCCAGAAGAGAAGTCAACCTCCCACCCCTTTGGGAGCTGTGTCATGGCTGACCGCGGTCGTCAATCGCCTCACACCTCCACCCCTTCAGAAATCACTCACCCACGGCTTCGCTCCGTCGCCATTTCTCCCTATTTGACCCTGCCTCTGACTCTGACTGACCTCTAGGCTCACCAACCGCGGGACCGGCTTCGCCGTGACTCGGGCCAATGGCCGGAAGAGTTCGCGTTCGGTTTTGGGGGCCTGGGCCAATCGTAGCCCGGCGATTTGTGGGCGGGTGCTGTTCCTAGGGTTACGAGGGGCTCGGCTGGCGGTGGCCAATGAAAGCCCAAGGACTCTAGCATCCAGGCGAGCCTGAGCCCTGAGGCTGGAACTCCGAAGCCCCGCGCCTGGGGAGAAGACTCTGGAAGGGCGTGTTACTATGGAAACTCCTCAGAGGCCGAAAATGAAAAGGAAAATAAATAGCAGTGCTTTATGGATTTTTCTTTCTTTTCTGATCAAATTCCAAAGCCCCGGGTGTGTGTGTGTGTGTGTGTGTGTGTGTGTGTGTGTAGGGGCGGGTCGGGTAGGAAAGGATGCCTATGTGGTTGTACTGTGTCTTCAGCCTGATGGGGAAACTGAGGCCCAGGTCTCAGATTCTGACTTCTCCATCAGGGGTCAGGGGCCCAGCCCTTAGAGTTGAGGAAATCCAGATGATCTTGTGAGAGCTGAACCTTGTGTTGCCCAGCCCCAGCCCCTCCAGTGTTTTACAGAAGAGATCCAGAATGGCGCTGTGACTTGTTTGAGGTCATGGCAGACTAGTGCAGGAGCCAAGACTGACTGCCACCTTTGACCTCGGTTCCCCTGAAGATGACATCTGGGCAAGCTGGGTAGCTCCCAGGTTTTAGGTGATTAAGATTACAAACTAGCAGGCGCCTGGGTGGCTCAGTCGTTAAGCAGCTGCCTTCGGCTCAGGTCATAATCCCAGAGTCCAGGGATCGAGACCCACATTGGGCTCCCTGCTCAGAGGGAGGCCTGCTTCTCTCTCTCCCACTCCCCCTGCTTGTGTTCCTGCTCTCACTGTCTCTGTCTCTGTCAAATAAATAAATAAAATCTTAAAAAAAAAAAAAAGATTACAAACTAGCAACAACAGAAGTCCATGCTGGGGCTTAGAACTGGAAGGAAAATGTTCTGTTTATATAAACCTAGAGGGTAAATTGGGATTAGAACAGGCCAACATCATCTTTACAGATGAGAAGCCAGGGGTCAAAGAAATTAGAAACTTGCCCACAGTCCCCCCAGCAAATACAGGCAGTGGAGTCTAGGGTTCAGGTTCCCCCGCCCCACAGCTATTTGGCCTCCTCCTGCTAGAATTCTAGGCAGCCTGAAGTCAGTGTTGAAGCCTTGGTTGGTAGGAAGAGGGTGAAGTCGGTGGTGGACTGCTACGTCTTTGAATTTAAGGCAGCAGGTGCTGTCGCACTCCACAACCCCCATTAGATTCCTTCCCTGTGCAAGCAGCACACAGTTCCCCCGCTTATTTATTAAAAACACACAACCTTTATTTACTATGAAAAAAATAAGTACAAATAACAGAATCTTCGTAAAGAGCAGCAACAGCCAAGGTCACCCTCCGTCCCTTCCTCCCCAAAAACAGGTCCTTTTACCAGGTATATTTTGTCTCACCCTATCTTGGGGCAGGAGTTCATCTCTCTAATGGGAGTAAGATCTGATCTCAGGAGTCAGGGCAGAAAGAGGGGTGACCTTTCAGCACGGAGATAACTTTGGCCTTGACAATGAAGGAGGCTCCCAAGGAATGACAAAGGTAGGGCAGAAAAGGAGGTGGATTCAAAGGACCTGTCACCCAGTGGGGTTCCTCCTCCCCCTGTTGTAACAATCTTCCTAGCCCTACCTAGGAAGACCCTGGTGAGAATGCTGGCCCCTAGCATGTACCGCCCGCCTTGAGCTCTCAAGACTTCCAAGGATAGGGGCCTGTGGTCCAATGTGCCAGTGCAAGTGCTTCAATCATGAATCGTGGCTCCTGTGGGAGGGAGTCCCTCCCCTTCCTCTGGCTTTCCCCAGAGGAAAGGGAGGCGGCCCACATCGTTGAAGTCCTCTGGCTGCTGACTGGGCTCAGGCGGCTGGCAGGGGTCCGCCCAGATGTCCACAATCTTGCGCAGGGTGGAACAGCGCTCCTCTAGCTCTGGCCCCTCGCTCTGCATGAGCAGGTTTGCCAGCTCCCTGCTTAGGTCCTGAATCATGTCACTCCGTCCTTGCCTCCCAGGCTGGCCTGTGTTTGGGACCATGATGGGGTCCCGGAGCTCCCCACTGGGCCCAAGGAGATGCTGGTACCTCTTCTGCCACCGGCGGCACACCATGGCTTCTCCCACGGGCTTCTGGCTGGTGTGCAGCAGGGCCAAGATGTGCCGGCATGGCAGGTGGTACCACCGATGAAAGGAACAGCTGCAGCTACAGCCATCTTTGCTCACCTGGTGAGAATCCTCCAGTAGCTGAATGTCCACTGAGGAGCCAGCCATGTCCACCAGGTGGGTGGAGTTCTGTGCCACCTCCCACTCATTATGGCACAGCTTATAGGCCAGTTGGGAGCCACTGCTGTGCAAGGCGTCTAGCATGCCGCCCTGGGAGATGCTGCCCTGGGAGGGCCGCACCTGTGGCTGCTGCCGCGGCTGCCCCCACTGTGGACCTGGCTTGGTCTCTTCCACCGGGAGCCTGGTGAGGCTCCCCCCACAGACTCCAAACGCCTTCTTGGGCTTTGGTGGCATGCTGGCCGGCCGGGCTCTTTTTAACTTGGGAGGAGCTGTGGGCAAGTTCTTCAAGCCTTTGGTATTAAAGAAGTCTATATAATCCACAAAGCGGAGGATGCAGTCCAGCAGAGACTGCTGTTCCCGGAATAGGCTGGACACCTTGCTGGTGACCACGTCTAGGCTGTCCATGTATGTGTTACACGCGTGCAGGCCTTTCCTCATGTGCATGTACCAGAGCAGTTCACAGGAGAACCAGTGGGCCTGCAGGAAGCCGAAGAGCTGCTCATCTAGTAAGGCTTGGGACATCTGACAGAGATTTTGCAGGCTGGCATCAGAAGTGACGAACACGGCTTCCCGGAGGGCTTCCTTCATGAGCCTTTTAAAGGATGGATTTGCTGAACTCCGATGCAACTTCTTCTCCAGGAGCCGGGTGGTGTGGTAGATGGAGAGGAGGATGCGCGCAGCAGGGAAGATCTCCTGCAGGATGGTTCGATAAGGGAAGGCCGGGTCCACAAACACCACCCTGACCTTGGGCCAATCTGAGTTGAACTCCGTGAAGATACTCAGCATCTTGGCCACGGAGGTAGTTGTCTCAGCCTGAAGCACGGCAAAGTGTACCACGCGACCCTCTCGTTCCTTGTTCTCCACCAAGAAAGCATAAAGGATGTGGCCCTGGGCGTTCTCCACCCGGTGTAGCAAGAGATTCTCTGGGAAGCGGATGAACAGATCGCTCATCTTGCTGCTCTGGAAGCTGAGCCGGTCCAGGTCTTGGCTGTTGCCCACGCTGAGAGAGGCCATGGAACCCTCATCCACCTTAAGAAAGTTTTTCATCACTTTCGCTATCTTGGCCAGGTCAGAAGGAGTGATGCCCTCCTGCTCTGGCTTTGAGGGCGCTTGGACCTTATCTAAGCAAAATGCTGGTTCAACAGGGGACTTCTCGGCCAGGTCAAGGTCTTTCTTGATTGTGGGCTGCGTGGGCTGTGCGGGCTGGGATTTCTGCAGGCACACTGTCTTTTGAGATTTGCCAGCGGTGTCTCCTCTAGGACTTGCAGTTTTGGAGTCAACATGGATATGTTGGGTGTTGAGTTCCCTGATAAACAGCCTATCCAGTTTCTCATTGTACTGCAGAAGCAAGTATGCTGGGCACATGTCCACCTCTGAGGTTCTCTTCCTGTTTGACTGAGTCCGAATACAGACAAACTTCACCTGCACATATCTAGGGAAGGTAGAGGTGACAGTGAGAAAGGTACTGCCCGCCCCTTTCTCTTATAAGACAAGACCCCGTAGGGATTCAGTGGCAGATACGTGTCCCAGAGATCACGAGGCAGTGTAGGATATAGGGAGGGAAGCCTGACATTCACACTCCAATCCCAAAGTGTTCAGCTCTTTTGTCAAGACCCTGTCTAACTAACACTGCATTCATTTTCGTCGTCCACAGTTCTAAGCCCCGCTCCTTTCCCTTTCATTCACCCTCTGTGGCCCATCTGCAGCTCCCAGTGATTCAGTGTGAGGCAAGCCACGAGGGAAAACAGACAAGAGGCAGCAGCAGAGGGCCAGCTGGTTCCTCACTGTTT